CAATAGTGTGAATTTTCACCTTAGGGGACAAGAAAAAATGGACTTTTTTCTCCTGCCATGGGGGGGCGCTCTTTTGGGGAGTAAAAATTCCTTCACAAATGTGTTGATGGCTGGACATTGCATCATCCTAGAAAACTTGGAGGCCAGTGAGGACAAAAATAAAAAGTTATAAGACTTTTAAATATGTGGATTTTAGGGTTATCTTTGGCGCCCCCTAGAACCTAAACCGTGGGGTGCAGCGTCATGATTTGAATAACTTTTAATGGCCATGGGGTGTAGATTGGCCTGAGCAAATGTGGTGCCGGTGGAACGAAAGCCTTCGGAGGAGTTAGCGAAATTCCAATGTGTGCGGATCGGCAAAAAATGCGAAATAACCCTTTAACCGTACATTTGACAGATACGCCCGCACTGACTTTTTTGTAGATCTTATTGAGATACATGTGTGTGTCAATTTTTGTGTCATTTGGACAAAGCGTACCGGCGTGACAGTGAATAGTGTGAATTTTCAACTTAGGGGGCGCTATGGAGCCATTTTGCATTTTCTTGTTTGGGCGACTTCGGAATATCAAATTTTTCACCAGGCCCGGTCGTCCTGCCAAATTTCATGAGTTTTCGCCAGTGGGAAGTGGGCCATTTTCCAGTTCAAAGGGGAGGAAAAATAATAACTAGGGCCCCGTTGGGGCACTGGCGGGCCCGAGCCGTGTCGCGCCGCCCCCAGCGCGACCGCCTACCCCTCCCGATCGCGTCACACTCAAGGTCCAAAGATGGTGTGCGCACTTGTCTGTGGTCATTTACCATTATAATGAATGGGAGGCGCAGTTTCTACCAAAACGCTCGCTGCAGACAAACTCCATGTCCTATTTGAAAAAAGTCTGGAACATGAGTGAGGGCACAAACACAGCTAAGATATATCCAAATGGCAAGTTGCTCCTCCTTTCGGTTTTGCCGAGAGAGCGATGCGTTTAAGCCATTAAGCGATGGGCAGGAACAACTTGACCTTTTCTCCGGCCATGGGGGGGGCGCTCTTTTGGAGAGTAAAAATTCCTTCACAACTGTGTTGATGGCTGAACATTGCATTATCCTAGAAAACTTGGAGGCCAGTGAGGACAAAAATAAAAAGTTATAAAACTTTTGAAAATGTGGATTTTTGGGTTATCTTTGGCGCCCCCTAGAACCTTAACCGTGGGGTGCAGCGTCATGATTTTTACAACTTTGAATGGCCATGGGGTTTAGATTTGCCTGAGCAAATTTGGTGTCAGTGGGACGAAAGCTTTAGGAGGAGTTAGCGAAATTCCAATGTGTGCGAATCGGCAAAAAATGCGAAATAGCCCTTTAACCGTACTTTTTACAGATACGCACACATTGACTTTTTCGTAGATCTTATTGAGATACACGTGATTGTCAAATTTTGTGTCAATATGACAAAGCGTACAGGCGTGACACTCAACAATGTGTATTTTCGCCTTAGGGGACAAGAAAAAATGGACTTTTTTCTCCTGCCATGGGGGGGCGCTCTTTTGGCGAGTAAAAATTCCTTCACAAATGTGTTAATTGCTGGACATTGCATCATCCTAGAGAACTTGGAGGCCAGTGAGGACAAAAATAAAAAGTTATAAGACTTTTAAGACTGTGGATTTTTGGGTTATCTTTGGCGCCCCCTAGAACCTAAACCGTGGGGTGCAGCGTCATGATTTGTACAACTTTTAATGGCCATGGGGTGTAGATTGGCCTGAGCAAATGTGGTGCCGGTGGAACGAAAGCCTTCGGAGGAGTTAGCGAAATTCCAATGTGTGCGGATCGGCAAAAAATGCGAAATAACCCTTTAACCGTACATTTGACAGATACGCCCGCACTGACTTTTTTTTAGATCTTATTGAGATACATGTGTGTGTCAAATTTTGAGTCAATATGACAAAGCGTACAGGCGTGACAGTCAATAGTGTAAATTTTCACCTTAGGGGGCGCTATGGAGCCATTTTGCATTTTATTGTTTGGGCGACTTCAGAATATCGAATTTTTCACCAGGCCCGGTCGTCCTGCCAAATTTCATGAGTTTTCGCCAGTGGGAAGTGGGCCATTTTCCCCTTCAAAGGGGAGGAAAAATAAGAAGAAAGAAAGAAAGAAAGAAGAAAGAAAAACCTATACAGGAATAATAGGGCCTACGCCCGGCTGCTCTGCAGCTGGCTCGGGCCCTAATAATAACAAAAGAAGGAAACTACAGGAACAAGAGGGCTCTCGCAGCTGCTTAGCAGCTACGCTCGGGCCCTAACTAGGGCCCCGGTGGGGCACTGTCGGGCCCGAGCCGCGTCGTGCCGCCCCAAGCGCGACCGCCTCCCCCTTCCGATCGCGTCACACTCAAGGTCCAAAGATGGTGTGCGCACTTGTCTGTGGTCATTTCCCATTATAATGAATGGGAGGCGCAGTTTCTACCAAAACACTCGCTGCAGACAAACTACATGTCCTATTTGAAAAAAGTCTGGACCATGAGTGAGGGCACAAACACAGCTAGGATATATCCAAATGGCAAGTTGCTCCTCCTTACGGTGTTGCCGGGAGAGCGATGCGATTGAGCCATTGAGCGATGGGCAGGAAAAACTTGACTTTTCCTCCTGCCTTGGGGGGGGGGGATGGGGGATGGGGGGGGGGGGGGGGATGTGGATTCTTTTAAGAATGTGGATATTTGGGTCATCTTTGGCGCCCCCTAGAACGTAAACCGTGGGGTGCAGCGTCATGATTTTTAAAACTTTGAATGGCCATGGGGTGTAGATTGGCCTGAGCAAATTTGGTGTCAGTGGGACGAAAGCCTTAGGAGGAGTTAGCCACATTCCAATGTGTGCTAATCGGCAAAAAATGCAAAATAGCCCTTTAACCGTACATTTTACAGATACGCGCGCACTGACTTTTTCGTAGATCTTATTGAGATACATGTGTGTGTCAAATTTTGTGTCAATATGACAAAGCATACAGGTATGACAGTCAACAATGTGTATTTTCACCTTATGGGACAAGAAAAAATGGACTTTTTTCTCCTGCCATGGGGGGGCGCTCTTTTGGGGAGTAAAAATTCCTTCACAAATGTGTTGATGGCTGGACATTGCATCATCCTAGAAAACTTGGAGGCCAGAGAGGACAAAAATAAAAAGTTATAAGACTTTTAAATATGTGGATTTTAGGGTTATCTTTGGCGCCCCCTAGAACCTAAACCGTGGGGTGCAGCGTCATGATTTGAATAACTTTTAATGGCCCTGGGGTGTAGATTGGCCTGAGCAAATGTGGTGCCGGTGGAACGAAAGCCTTCGGAGGAGTTAGCGAAATTCCAATGTGTGCGGATCTGCAAAAAATGCGCAATAACCCTTTAACCGTACATTTGACAGATACGCCAGCACTGACTTTTTTGTAGATCTTATTGAGATACATGTGTGTGTCAATTTTTGTGTAATTTTGACAAAGCATACAGGCGTGACAGTCAATAGTGTGAATTTTCACCTTATGGGACAAGAAAAAATGGACTTTTTTCTCCTGCCATGGGGGGGGCGCTCTTTTGGGGAGTAAAAATTCCTTCACAAATGTGTTGATGGCTGGACATTGCATCATCCTAGAAAACTTGGAGGCCAGTGAGGGCAAAAATAAAAAGTTATAAGACTTTGAAATATGTGGATTTTAGGGTTATCTTTGGCGCCCCCTAGAACCTAAACCGTGGGGTGCAGCGTCATGATTTGAATAACTTTTAATGGCCATGGGGTGTAGATTGGCCTGAGCAAATGTGGTGCCGGTGGAACGAAAGCCTTCGGAGGAGTTAGCGAAATTCCAATGTGTGCGGATCGGCAAAAAATGCGCAATAACCCTTTAACCGTACATTTGACAGATACGCCCGCACTGACTTTTTTGTAGATCTTATTGAGATACATGTGTGTGTCAATTTTTGTGTCATTTGGACAAAGCGTACAGGCGTCAGGTGAATTTTTCACCTTAGGGGGCGCTATGGAGCCATTTTGCATTGTATTGTTTGGGCGACTTCAGAATATCGAATTTTTCACCAGGCCCGGTCGTCCTGCCAAATTTCATGAGTTTTCGCCAGTGGGAAGTGGGCCATTTTCCAGTTCAAAGGGGAGGAAAAAGAACTAGGGCCCCGTTGGGGCACTGGCGGGCCCGAGCCGTGTCGCGCCGCTCCCAGCGCGACCACCTACCCCTCCCGATAGCGTCACACTAAAGGTCCAAAGATGGTGTGTGCACTTGTCTCTGGTCATTTACCATTATAATGAATGGGAGGCGCAGTTTCTACCAAAACGCTTGCTGCAGACAAACTACATGTCCTATTTGAAAAAAGTCTGGACCATGAGTGAGGGCACAAACACAGCTAGGATATATCCAAATGGCAAGTTGCTCCTCCTTTCGGAGGAGTTTGAACACATGACATGTGTTTGAGCCATTGAGCGATGGGCAGGAAAAACTTGACTTTTTCTCCTGCCATGGGGGGGCGCTCTTTTGAGTAGTAAAAATTCCTTCACAAATGTGTTGATGGCTAGACATTGCATCATCCTAGAAAACCTGGAAGCCAGTGAGGACAAAATGAAAAGTTATAGGACTTTTAAGAATGTGGATTTTTGGGTTATCTTTGGCGCCCCCTAGAACGTAAACCGTGGGGTGCAGCGTCATGATTTGTACAACTTTTAATGGCCATGGGGTGTAGATTGGCCTGTGCAAATTTGGTGCCGGTGGAACGAAAGCTTTAGGAGGAGTTAGCCACATTCCAATGTGTGCGAATCGATCAAAAATGCGTAATAGCCCTTTAACCGTACATTTTACAGATACGTGCGCATTGACTTTTTCGTAGATCTTATTGAGATACACGTGATTGTCAAATTTTGTTTCAATATGACAAAGCGTACAGGCGTGACACTCAACAATGTGTATTTTCACCTTGTGGGACAAGAAAAATGGACTTTTTTCTCTTGCCATGGGGGGGCGCTCTTTTGGGGAGTAAAAATTCTTTCACAAATGTGTTGATGGCTGGACATTGCATCATCCTACAAAACTTGGAGGCCAGTGAGGACAAAAATAAAAAGTTACAAGACTTTTAAGACTGTGGATTTTTGGGTTATCTTTGGCGCCCCCTAGAACGTAAACCGTGGGGTGCAGCGTCATGATTTGTACAACTTTTAATGGCCATGGGGTGTAGATTGGCCTGAGCAAATGTGGTGCCGGTGGAACGAAAGCCTTCGGAGGAGTTAGCGAAATTCCAATGTGTGCGGATCGGCAAAAAATGCGAAATAACCCTTTAACCGTACATTTGACAGATACGCCCGCACTGACTTTTTTTTAGATCTTATTGAGATACATGTGTGTGTCAAATTTTGTGTCAATATGACAAAGCGTACAGGCGTGACAGTCAATAGTGTAAATTTTCACCTTAGGGGGCGCTATGGAGCCATTTTGCATTTTATTGTTTGGGCGACTTCAGAATATCGAATTTTTCACCAGGCCCGGTCGTCCTGCCAAATTTCATGAGTTTTCGCCAGTGGAAAGTGGGCCATTTTCCCCTTCAAAGGGGAGGAAAAATAAGAAGAACTAGGGCCCCGTTGGGGCACTGGCGGGCCCGAGCCGTGTCGCGCCGCCCCCAGCGCGACCGCCTACCCCTCCCGATCGCGTCACACTCAAGGTCCAAAGATGGTGTGCGCACTTGTCTGTGGTCATTTACCATTATAATGAATGGGAGGCGCAGTTTCTACCAAAACGCTCGCTGCAGACAAACTCCATGTCCTATTTGAAAAAAGTCTGGAACATGAGTGAGGGCACAAACACAGCTAAGATATATCCAAATGGCAAGTTGCTCCTCCTTTCGGTTTTGCCGAGAGAGCGATGCGTTTAAGCCATTAAGCGATGGGCAGGAACAACTTGACCTTTTCTCCGGCCATGGGGGGGGCGCTCTTTTGGAGAGTAAAAATTCCTTCACAACTGTGTTGATGGCTGAACATTGCATTATCCTAGAAAACTTGGAGGCCAGTGAGGACAAAAATAAAAAGTTATAAAACTTTTGAAAATGTGGATTTTTGGGTTATCTTTGGCGCCCCCTAGAACCTTAACCGTGGGGTGCAGCGTCATGATTTTTACAACTTTGAATGGCCATGGGGTTTAGATTTGCCTGAGCAAATTTGGTGTCAGTGGGACGAAAGCTTTAGGAGGAGTTAGCGAAATTCCAATGTGTGCGAATCGGCAAAAAATGCGAAATAGCCCTTTAACCGTACTTTTTACAGATACGCACACATTGACTTTTTCGTAGATCTTATTGAGATACACGTGATTATCAAATTTTGTGTCAATATGACAAAGCGTACAGGCGTGACACTCAACAATGTGTATTTTCGCCTTAGGGGACAAGAAAAAATGGACTTTTTTCTCCTGCCATGGGGGGGCGCTCTTTTGGCGAGTAAAAATTCCTTCACAAATGTGTTAATTGCTGGACATTGCATCATCCTAGAGAACTTGGAGGCCAGTGAGGACAAAAATAAAAAGTTATAAGACTTTTAAGACTGTGGATTTTTGGGTTATCTTTGGCGCCCCCTAGAACCTAAACCGTGGGGTGCAGCGTCATGATTTGTACAACTTTTAATGGCCATGGGGTGTAGATTGGCCTGAGCAAATGTGGTGCCGGTGGAACGAAAGCCTTCGGAGGAGTTAGCGAAATTCCAATGTGTGCGGATCGGCAAAAAATGCGAAATAACCCTTTAACCGTACATTTGACAGATACGCCCGCACTGACTTTTTTTTAGATCTTATTGAGATACATGTGTGTGTCAAATTTTGTGTCAATATGACAAAGCGTACAGGCGTGACAGTCAATAGTGTAAATTTTCACCTTAGGGGGCGCTATGGAGCCATTTTGCATTTTATTGTTTGGGCGACTTCAGAATATCGAATTTTTCACCAGGCCCGGTCGTCCTGCCAAATTTCATGAGTTTTCGCCAGTGGGAAGTGGGCCATTTTCCCCTTCAAAGGGGAGGAAAAATAAGAAGAAAGAAAGAAAGAAAGAAGAAAGAAAAACCTATACAGGAATAATAGGGCCTACGCCCGGCTGCTCTGCAGCTGGCTCGGGCCCTAAAAAAGAAACAAAGAAAAACCACTTGGGGAATAATAGGGCTCTCGCAGCTGCTTAGCAGCTACGCTCGGGCCCTAAAGAAAGAAAGAAACAAAGAAAAACCACTTGGGGAATAATAGGGCCTACGCCCGGCTGCTCTGCAGCTGGCTCGGGCCCTAACAAGCACAGATCATTCCTACAAAATTCATCCAATGATTGTTTTGTGAAGGAGTATGAGGGCCATATTGAGAATTTTTTTAAAAACTTGAAGTCGTGAATTTACGAGAATAAAGTCATTAATTTATGAGAATAAAGTCATAAGGTTACCTGTTATTTCAGAGGAGAGTTGTTAGAATTAGGGCCATGAAGTATTTGAAAGAACTGTGCTTCAGTATAGGTTTCACAAACAAGGAGATACTTCATCCTTTGGCACATCAGCATTACATTGTCACAAGTATAAAGACTTAAAGAAGAATGTATGAGAAATACGACTTTTCCACGGGGAAAAAAACAGGTGTACTTGGAGGAAATCGCTGCTTTGTGGAGGCAGAAATTAATATGCTGAGGATATATCCGTTTATGCAGCTGTAAATATACGTGAATTAGTTTATGATTTGAATCCATATGCCATAATAAGGTGTTGGTGTCTCTGCAGGTGTAGGTTACCGCCGGTGTCAGAGACATGGTGCTCGTCTGAGCTCGACTCTCTCTGGATCACAAATGTTGATCATCAGTTTGATTGTTTCTTGAAAAACTACAAAAACTCTCTGTATGACCCACTGATATATCCATCGATAACCCTGCAGCTTCAGTCATTTCCCCCTCCACAAAAGCAGCTTTATGATTTTATTTACTTTATGAATTTATTCTCCTAAAATCTCTAAATCTTAAAAAAAAAAAAAAAAAAAAAAAACTCAATGTGGTCCTGATACTCTGCTGTAGTTTTGTCAGCTTTCTTATTTCTAATGTTTTTGATTGTTGTAGCAGAGCGGATCAGTTGTCTCTAAATCTATAATGTTTGGTTTACAGATTTTACTGAGTTCAGAGACCATGCACTCATACGGCCTATGCAGACTGTCTGCTGTTTTTGGATTTCTTTTATTTTCTCTGAAGACGCACTGCGTCTCCAAGCGAGTCCAGTCTCTCACACGAAATGTGCAGCTGTGCAGCGGCACGCAAAGAATTCTGGGATACCAACGGCATGAAAGCGTGCATAAATGCATGCTTGAAAATTTTGAAGCGTGCTTAGCATTTCATGGCAAATGGGACAGCGTTCGCACCGCGTGATGACATCATGCATGCTTCAAATGCGCCGTTCGATGGTGCGGTCTCTAAAATGAGACACAGCCCATGTTTCTACTGTTGTTACATGTGTTTTGTTTATGAATATTAAAGCAGCAGTTTCTTCTTTTATTTGACCTACAACCTCTAACCAGCTCAACATCAGAGTATCACAGGTTTGCTGTTGAGATTGTCTCTGTGTGTTAGAAGTCTTATTGAAGCTCGATGTGAACCTGTTCATGTTTGTAAATCAGACCAATCATCAGATAGTTGATCTGAAATCATTTCAACTCCAAATCAAAGAGACAAATATCCTGTCAATTCATCTGAGTAACAACATTTACTTTGTATGAATCCGTTTTGTCCTGCTGCTCTGAGTCTGCTCCAGTGTCCCCATCACTGTTGGCTTCTTTACTTTCTGTCCTGCTGTCTGGAGATGAACTGATATTTACACTCAAGTGCTTTGGTCCCATCCATTTAGACCAGCATCAGACTCCATGCTGTCCAAACAGCGGACAGTGATGCAAAAATAAACCAACATCATCAAAATAAAGAAATCATACCCATCAAATGTGTTAAAGCTGAATCTTTGTCTCACTGCAGTTACTCAATCTAAATAAAGATGAAATAATGAGATTTTAGACAAACAATGATTGAAATCTAATGACTTAAATCTGTAGAGAGCAGGGGAAAGTTTTGGAAAGTATGAATCAAAGAAAAGTGATGCTCCAAACCATCTGACCAGGACGATAGTCTGGTGCAGGTGAGCGATGGACGTCAGCCAACCAAAACAGCACATGAAGGGAGAAATACCTGTGGCCGAGGAGGTGAGGGACTTATGGGCGTACTGAATCCATGGGAGGTGTGTACTCCAGGACGCTGGATGATGGGCCGCAACACACCGCAAAGCGGACTTGAGGTTTTGATTGGCCCGCTCCGTCTGGCCGTTGGTCTGCGGGTGGTAGCCCAAGGAGAGGCTAGCTGCCGCGCCCACTGCCTGGCAGAAAGCTTTCCAGACCTGGGAGGAGAACTGGGGACCACGATCTGACACTATGTTAAGGGGGATACCATGAAGTTGGAACACATGAGACACTAGGAGAGTAGCGGTTTCTAGAGCAGAGGGGAGCTTGGGTCATGGGACATAATGCACGAACTTGGAAAACCTGTCTATGATGGTGAGTATGACTGTGTTACTGTCAGAAGGGGGGGAGACCAGTGACAAAATCTAGAGCTATATGAGACCAAGGGCATGAGGGCACAGGCAGAGGACGCAGTAAGCCAGCAGGAGGTTGGTGGGAGGCTTTGCCTCGGGCACAGACGGAGCAGGCAGCCACAAATGCCCGTACATCCCGGACCATCTCCGGCCACCAGAACTGCTGCTGAAGGAATTGGAGGGTGCGCTGAAATTTCCGGGGTGACAGGTGAGTTTAGAGGAGTTCCCCCACTGTAGGACCTGCGAACGTGCAACCTCAGGGACGAACTTCCTATCAGGAGGGCCAGTTCCAGGGTCCGGGTGCTTCCGGAGGGTCTTGTCCACCACGGTGTCGATCTCCCAAGAGGCGGCGCCGATGATACAGGAGGCAGGGAGGATGGTGTCCAGTTCTCTGGGGTCTGAGTTAGCAGAGGGGTAGATCCGCGATAGAGCGTTAGGTTTGAGGTTGCGGGAGCCGGGACGATAGGAGAGGGTGAAGGTGAATCTGTGGAGGAAGAGGGACCGGCGGGCTTGCCTGGAGTTGAGGTGTCGAGCGGAACGGAGGTACTGAAGGTTCTTGAGGTCAGTCCAGATGAGGAATGGCTGTTGTGCTCCTTCCAGCCAGTGTCTCCATTCTTGAAGTGCCCACACAACAGCCAGCAACTCACGGTCTCCCACGTCATATTTTCATTTGGTGGGTGAGAATTTCCAGGAGAAGTAGGTGCAAGGATGGAGCTTCTGGGTCTCAGGATCCCCCTGTGAGAGGACGGCCCCCACTCCAGAGTCTAAGGCGTCGACCTCCACCACGAATTGGAGAGAGGGATCTGGGTGTTTGAGCACAGGGGCGGAGCGGAGGCAATGAGAGTGGCAGTGAGGACTCCAGGCGGAGATTGAAGCTGTGGACCAGTTGATTTGGGGATTGTGGATTTGCAGCCACGGGAGTCCAAGCACGAGGGGTGAATGCGGAGAGGGATGCAAGAACAACTGGATGTCCTCACGATGGTTTCCCGAAAGGATGAGTGTGAGAGGAGCGGTGCAGTGGGTTATGGTGGCTATAACCCTGCCATCGAGAGCGGTGACCTTACAGGGGGCAGGGAGTGCCTCCAGGGGGAGCTGTAGCCACCCCGCCAACCCGGCGTGAATTAAGTTGTCGTCTGCCCCGGAGTCAATAAGGGTTTTGAGCGACATGGATCCTTTCCCCCACAAAAGACAGGCAGGTCCGGAGATATGTCTGGGAGAGCTGGAGGTAGAGGAGGTGTGGCTGATTTGCATGGGTTCTCCAGCTGAGGGCATCGGAGCCAGAGGAGCTGAGGGCTGCAGAGGAGACCCGCTGAAAGTGGAGGAGGATGAGGAATCTAAACTATTTGGAGGAGTGTTTAGTTTCTTCTCCCTACGTCTCTCCCTGAGGCGATTATCCACACGTATGGCTAACGAAATTAACTCCTCAAGCGAGGATGACTCATCATGAGCAGCTAATTCGTCCTTTAACTGTACGGACAGGCAACAAGAAAATGCACCCTTTAACTCTAGTTCTCCCCACCCACTCTCAGCCGCCACTGTGCGGAACTCAATAGAGAATTCCGCCACAGACCGAGAGCCTTGGGTGAGGGAAAACGACCACTTAGTACATTTGGGACCCTTGACAGGATAATCAAACACCTTGCAAAGTTCCTCAGTGAATCTGGCGTATGAGGACAACATCAGCGAATCCTTTTCCCAAATGGCAGTAGCCCTCTTAGGGGCTTTGCCTCTTAACAGATTGACAGTGTAGGCTATTTTGGAATTATCCGAGGGGTAACTAATAGGCTGCTGATTTAAAGACAAGGGCACAGTGGAACAGGAAACCTCTGCAGCCCCCAATCTCCCCAGCATACAGCTCGGGGGGAGGGACATAATGCTCTTTGAAGACAGGAGAGGGTGAATAGGGGGCTGTACTCACAGAGGGGGGACACCCAGATTGCTCGGGGGGGAGCCGGGAGAGGAGTTGATCCACCAGTTGCGCTACTTGAATGGTGAGGCCTTGAAAGGCTTGGTTGAGGCCCTGGAGCATGTCCTCATGTTGACCGAGGCGAAGTCCAAGCTTTTGGATGGCTTGTTGGTCTATGTCTGGGTCTGCTGGGTC